TACATAGTGACATGCAGGGCAATGCCTACAAGTCTCCTCTGACAATTCATGGGTGTAGCCATGGCATGACAGAGATTAGTTTACATGAAGTAATGCACATTATTTTGAGTTCACAGAGGAAAAGATAAAAGGAGCAATTTATTATTCTTTAGGTCAATATTGACGATATCATCCTCACTAGAGATGATATTGAGGCATCCGACGTAATAAGTGCCCAGCAACCTATGCTGTCGTTTTTGCTTTATTTATATTGTGAAACTCAATGCACGTAAAAATATCCAATAGAGAAATTTGTTTCTTATTAATCTCATTGTGCCCTCCCTGCACTTCTATCTCTCAATTACTAAGCCTAATCGTTATCAGAAGTGGCTCAATATTGTTGGAAAGTGGCACAGGACAAGGCACTCAATGTACTTGAAAAAAAAAATGTGGAGGCAGCACAAATTAAAGCTAAAGACTGATGGGACAATTTGCATGTCCAAGGTTTGATTTGTAGCCAAGAGGTTCACTGTCTGCTCAAGAATATGAAGCATATTTTCTTCAGACCCCTGCCTACTTGCCAAAATATCAGTTATCTAGTCTTGTCAGTGGTAGTCTCAAAGAATTGACTGCATTCCAAATAGATGATAAGAATACTCTGTTGCATGGTGACCTACAAAGAGGTTCATATAAATCCACCAGCTGCAATTTTAGGTTAACAAAACCATGGAATAGCCTGCAAGATGAGAAAAAGAACTTTGTGGATTCAAGCAAGCACAAAGTGCCACTCTTATATACAGCAGAGACAAGATTGACATGGTTGCATATTACTAATACTCACTACACATTGAGAAGATATTGAAGGAATTTTGTAATGCCATTTGCTAATAACATATTAAATGCAAGAGGAGTGAGGATCAGAGGGCCTTGATGTAGGATGAAGAAGTCAACAAAAATTGGAGAGCTTTTTTAAAACATCATTAAAAGATAAACACAATGGGAACACAACGCTAGGAGGAACTTTGGTATAAATGAGCGCGTAGGTCATATATACATTCACAGGAGTAAGGTATTTGAAGTGACAGAAAAAGAGAAAGATGAAGATAGGAAAGGCTTTAGGATCAAATGACATCCCAATAGAGGTTTGGAAGTGTATGAGGGAGATTGGTACATGCTGGCTGACCAAGACACTCAACAAGGTGTTGAGAACACAGAAAATACCAGACAAATAGAGGAAAGTATTGTGGGACCAATTTACAATAACAAAGAAGACCTACAGAATTGTGCAAACTATCAAGGGATCAAACTTATGAGCCACAATATGAAGCTATGGGTGAGAGCAACTGAGCAACAACTAAGGCATGACACGAGTGTATGAAAAAATCATTTCGGTTTTATGTCAGGAGGTCAATAATATAGGCCATATTCCTACTTAGGCAACTGATTGAGAAGTTCAGGGAGAAGAAAAAAGACTTCCACATGCTCTTTATTGATTTAGAGAAAGCTTACGAAAGGGTACTTGGAGATCTAATTTAGTGGTGTTGGAAAAGAAAAGAGTCTCCAAGTGCTATATTGACATGGTGAAATATATGTATGAGGGAGCGCTAACTAGTATGTGCACAACTAGTGAGATAAGTGTGTTCTCAGTGATAATAAGTCTACATCAGGGTCAGCGTTGAGCCCATATCTCTTTGTTTTAATTATGGATGAATTAACTAGGCACCTACAAGATGAGGCACCTACAAGATGAGGTAGTGTATGTTGTTCGCAGATGACAGTCTCGATTGATGAGACTGGAAGGGGCGTCAATGAAAAATTAGAACTTTGAAGGGATACTCTAGAATCTAAAAGTTTTAAAATTAGTCAGACTAAGACAAAATATATGAAATGAAAGTTTAGTAATAATAAGTGTAGACACAAGGAAATAGTTAACATTGATGGCCGAGAAACACTTAAAAGAGAGTACTTTTGATATCTCGAGTTGATAATCCAAGAAAATGGAGAACTTGAAGAAGATGTCCTCTACAGAATTAGAGCTAGGTGGGCGAAGCGATGTGCATCTGAAGTTTTACGTGATCGCTGCAACCAATGAAACTGAAGGAGAAGTTCTACACGACAGTTGTGAGGCCAGCTTTGCTTTATGGGATGGAATGTTGGGGGATCAAGAAACAATAAACCCATAAGATGTGTAGCTAAGATGACGATGTTGAGATGGATGAGTGGCAATACAAGAAATGATAGAATTTGAAATGAATATATTCGAGGGATCTTAGGTGTGGCTTCAATAGGTGATGAGGGAAAGTAGACTTATGTGGGCTGGCCATATCCAACGTAGACCTAACATAGCATTAGTTAGGAGATACAACTTGATTCAAGTGGAAAGCTCTAAAAGGCAAAGGGAAGGCCCAAACTGACATGGATGGAAGTAGAAAGAAAAGATATAGAGACTTATGGCCTTACTGAGGGGTATGACCCAAGATACAGCAGAATAAAGGAACTGGATTCGTATAGCCAACTCCAAATGGTTGCAATAAGGCTCTGATGATAATGATTTGCTAATAATGTAATAGTGACTTGGGATGCTACACTCAAGATCATTGACCTTGGAAACTTAGAATACTTCTAGGGGAATGTAGTAAGGTTATCCAAAGGATATCTAGACAAGAACACAGTTGGAAGTCTCTTATACCTCACACTAACCCGAGGTACAAGACCAAATTATCCTTTATAGTTTGGATAAGTCAATCGACAAACAATACGAAGCAGTTACTAAGGATATTGTGACAAATCAATCCATGTCCATGGAAAGGGATGCTGCTTTCTGCCTCTTCATCATTCCAAGTGATCGTGCCTATGTAGAGAATATGTGATGGAATCACAAGAATATTATTATTAGATTCGTACTCTTATTGCCGCCAACTTGGATACTTGAAATATGCACAGACAAATGGTGATATCAACCTTGAATACAATCTAAAGTTTTGTACATCAAGCTCTGTTTGCCACTGCCAAAGATACTGCTAAGACTTAATAGACTCTTCATGGAAATTGGGGTTTATGTTCCTCTTGTGCCAAACATACTCATATGATGGCTGTAACTGAGATGAGGATGTTAAGATGGTGAGTAGCACGACAAGAAGGGATAAGTTTAGGAGAACTTAGGTGTGGCTCCAATAGGCAATAAGATGAAAGAAAGTAGACTTAGGTGGGCTGGCCATGTGCAGTGCACACCCATTTCGGCACCCGTTAGGAGGTGCAAGTTGGTTCAAGTGGAAGGCTTAAAAAGAGTAAGAGGTTAGCCCAAAAAGACATGGTTGGAAGTGGTGAGAAAAGATGTGGGGACTTATGGCCTCACTGAAGAATGGTAGACCATGATTCGTGTAGCTAACCCCAAATAGTTGGGAAAAGGCTATGGTGATGATGATGGTGTTTTTTTTTATAATGTTAACATTGTATTACTATAACAAGAAGGAGTACAAAAGATTGACGAGAGAGAGAGCCGAGCATGCCCTCGAGACAGGTATCTTGGTAAAAAATTAAGCCATAACCCCTATACAAACTATATACTTTTGGAGAGACTGTATACAAAAAATGGGCTTATTGGCACACCCTTTTACAAGAAGTCACAAAAGAAATTTTGAGTACTAGAGACCTCTTGTACGACAATGAGTCATGACCATGATGATGATGATGATGATGTTCCTCTTGTACGACAATGATTCATGACAACAGAAGTGCTTTTCAATTTTTTTTAATTATCAGAGACAAAAAAAGGAAAGAACTTTTTCATGAATGCACAAAGCATATTAAAGTCCATTATAATCACATCAAACAGAAGGTTTATGAAGAAATAGTCACTACTCCCAGTCTTAATAGCGGGACAATTGCAGATCTTTTCACATTTGGTGGTGGGTGGGATAAAGCTAGAAGTGCAAACGTCTCTAAGAGGACATAAATTTAATAGACATCTTCTTTTCCAAATGTCTACTAGTACATAGTTTTTCACGTGCACTTAGTTTTTCACGTGCACTTATACTATCATGTATATTATAAAGGTCTTATTACATTTGTCTACAACATACACATACATACGTATGTGTGTGTGTGTGTGTGTGTATATATATATATATATATATATATATATATATATTTATATTAGGATCTTGAGATGATGAGAATCTGCGCCACCATGTGGTGCTTTTCTCTTCAATTTACTTCCTACCATGGAAATCATGATAGCATTGCCCTCAAAACCAAGGGCAATCGAATCATATCTAACATGCAACGGAAATAAAATGATTTTAAGGTATCATAGAGAAATCATCTACAACCCACAAAATCTTGCGTCCACTAAACTCACTTCAAGTAGCCTTTTCAAAATCAAAGTCGTTCTCAGTACAAAGAGGTTCTGCTCCAAGTTTCCACAGTTTCCTCAAAATTATCCTCAAAATCAATATACTTAATAAAATGAGGTTATTTGCATGGTATGCACATCTCTCATTCGTTATTTGAGGAATGCAATAGTTTCTACCTTAGATGAAGATGAAATATTGTGAAGTAATCGGAATGTCAAGCTGTTTTATGAATATTACTGTGAGGATATGGAAAATAAATGCCTCCAAACAGAGAGAAATATGGATCTTACAACATGCCTCCCTATGTTAGCAATTTGAATTGCATGAATCAAGAGTATTAGCACAAACACTACTCCGTTTTTTATAAATGTTCACCGTTTCATGGATGAGAATCAGACCTACTGTAAATACATAACTGCATTCACTCTTGTGATTCATGAGTAAAAATCCCATAATAGCAACAATTACACATAACAAGACAGTTTTTTATATTGTTGCTATTGTGAAGATTTTCCTTTATAACTTAATCCGGTATGAATGAGGCCAAGAAAACTTTTCCCAGGAACAAATACACTCAATGAATACCATGTTCATGCATGCTTAATTGAATGCAAGATATAAATAAAATGAGTAAACCAATATTATAAATGCAAAAGAATGCCTGACCTTTGATAAAATGAAATCTCCAAGCCATCTATTGCAATCAACATAATTAGAATGAACTTGAGCAAGGAATACCTGCCCAAACCAAAAAATTACCATCGATAAAACATTTCCTCATTATTTTATAATAAAAATTTCCAAGTGCATCAGTTAATTGAAAAGATACTCACAGGAAATTGCACATATTTCGTTGGAAACTTAGATGGTAGATCACTCCACGTGAAAGACTTCTCTACATATGTCCAGAACTCTGCACAATTTGCCAAAGTCATGATAAAGGACTTCAATGCATTTTCAAAGAAATAGAAATCTATATCTCTTTTCTTTCGCATTTCACTGAATAATTCCATGATGATCTTCCATTCATGTAATGGAACAGTCGGCAAATAAAAAATCCCTCAAGGAAACAAAAGTACTAATATCCAAGCAGTATTATCTGTCCGTTCTCAATTTATCTCTCCTAGACACATTATATGTCTGCCAATATTTCAATGAAATTTTAATCATAAAATTGGTAGGCAGGCATAAACATGTTTCCAAAAGAAAAATTTCAGAAGCAAGTATCATTGTAGAATAGCACATTCACCTAGCATTTTTCCCTGTTTTTACATATTTCCTGTTTTTATCAATTGTTCCCCAATGTATCCCTAACATTTTCCCAAATTGACCAGGCATTACAGGAGTGATTCCATTGATTTTCAAGCATTTCTTACCATGTATTTCCTAATCCCATGCCTAGCATTAGTGATTAAGCTTCTACTAATTACGAATGACAAACATCTATGGGGGCCCAATAATGAAAATAGTTGTTCTCCCATGAGCATATCTCAGTAAACCTCCACTCTCAGTAGGTCCTAAATTACTTTTGAGCGCCCCCATTAAAGATCAATTTCAGCAATTCATTTGGGGTGCCAACCATATGAGGTTAGGCCGTCTACTTTAATTAAGGAGAAGGTCACTGTCTTTCAGTCTCTTAAAAATCGGATAGCTGATAACATGTGAACTCTAGTGCAAGTAGGGCCCATATAATCACCCAGTCTCGAATTTTCTCCTGAAAACTTACCTCCCTAATACTCTTTTACTAAATATTTATTATTATACTCCCACCATACCCATAGGATCGCCATGGGCATTCCACAACTCAAGTGCCCTGTTAAACTTGTACCATATCTGAGAGCATAACAAACCCAGATATCAAGGAGGCTATAGCTATTTACCCATAAAAGAGGGAGGCTAAAGATACTGGGGTAACCCATATCAAGCCAAAGAGGTCCGCAACCAAAGACAAGATACAATGAATAAGGAGGTAGACTCATATATTACAGATTTGCAATTCCTAAAAGGTGGTCGACATTAAGACTGCTGTGCTTGGGGCCAGTATGCACCAAACTAGTCGTCATGGAGACCCCCACCTACATCTCTCATAAGGTTAATAAATTGATCTAGATAAGAGCACCTATAAGCATTCTGTAATCAACTCATCTTAGGGAATATAAGTTCTTCTAGATCCGTATACTCCACCTCTAGGTCAGTAAGTTCCCTCTTGAAACAGAAACCAGACCACCTTACCTCCCACCTCTCAATGCACTCTACCTAACCATGCCTTAGGGTTCTGGATGCAAATCGCATCAAGGGGTTAGCTAGGCTGCAGTTGATATTGTTGAATTTGAAGTAGGAATGTTTCTGGAATTGTATTACGTGTTAGGTTCGTCATGTTGGAACTGTCTTAGTTGTTAGGTATGCTTTTGTAATTTGTCATTAAGGGGTTATTTTTAGGTTTTAGTTGAAAGTCAATGATAGAATAGAGTGTTGAAAAGCCCCTATATCGTCAACAAGTCAAAGTAGTATAGTGTTGTTTTGAGTTCCCACAAGTTCAATGATGTAGAGTTCATATGCATAGAAATTGGTTGCATGGATGGGGAATTGCAACATTGAAACTTGGTTGCATTAAGGTTGCATGCAAGCTGATTTTATTTATGGGGAATAGGGTATAGGGGTAGTTTAGCCAGTTTCCTACTTTGTTAAGGGCATTTGCTCATTGTCTAGGGCCCATGAGTGGTATCACATATATTGTACATTGATGTAACAGATACAGTATCAGCAGCTATTTTGATTGATGAAATTGAATTCCCTTCTGCATTGGTGTAGTATTGAAGACCCCTACTTTGTTTAGAAGTACAACCGTACTTGGAGTAGTAGCATGGTTCAAGCTAGAAAGACCCTTAGTCCTTTCCCTTTCTTGACAGTGATCAAGGAAGGTTTCCTCTTGTTGATCAACCAAGAACAACTGATTTTTGTTGCTGAATTGATCCCAGATCTCTCCTTTATGGGTGCCAGTTTTGCACCATTTGGTATTAGAGCCAAGGTTGAGAGTTACGTCGAACATGATGGCCGGTCGTGATGGCGTACATGGCCATATGTAGTCCACTCATGACCTGGACCAGATGGTGGAAAGGATGAGTAACCTATAGGAGTCAATAGCCTTGCTGATGTGTGATCGGTTGGCTTAAAAGGTGGATAATCTAAAGCACACAGAAGCCTTGTTGATGCATGATCAGGATCAATGTAGGCATGCCAAAGGAGAGATAAGGTCAATGACGATGATATATGCGCCTCTTTGACAAGCACCATGAGCTGGAGACCAAGTTAGTGTTAGACGGGTCAAATTCATGGTCTGATCATAGTCAAGAGTTTGGTGCACAATGTCATGGAATTTATGATGATTTGAGCAAGTGTTATGGAACTCAATTCAAGGACGACCATGGTGAAATTTTTGTTAAATGATTCCCCAAATCAACGAGTCTTAAATGTTGGAGTTATGACCTTTCAAGGCCTTGACTCTGTTGTTTCCTAATAGTCCTTGATCACCGTGGAAGTGAATTGGAATGCTGGACTTACCGGATTTTAGTGAATTGCGATCTGGAAAGTCCGAATACCTCAAGTCATAAAGCATTTCCGGATGGCTTTACTCAAAACTGAGAGGTTTGAGGGTCTCCTCTAGTCAGGGTCAGTATGCGAATGCTTCATGAGTGCGTTAGCCAGGGTAATAAGAAAGGATTGAGGACCAAATGTGACATAGAGAAACTTGCCCTGTGTGAGAAGACAAGGCTTAATGAGGACATAAGCCTAAAACCCTGGAATCGAGCCTCCTCACATCATTTACATATGACAGTCAAAAACGAACAACTCTGATAAGTTGATCCACTTAATCAGAGCACATGTGCAAGAGAGAGGACCCCGGTATCTACAAGAGTGTATATCCTTAGGAGTGCACCTATAATCCACTGAACATCTGGAAACCAGGAACATATTGGGTTTGCTTTAATAGAACAAGCATGCACCCTTGCTTCAGACTGTGGGGCATTGGTTTGTTGGGTTAACTTGAGAAAATGGCATAGGGCTCCGAAGCTTGTCCAGTGGAGTACCATACAGCCCAACAATACCTCCTAAAGTATCCTTCTATACCTTTCATTGACCAGATCTTAACATACCTTTCATTGACCAAATCTTAACATTATTATCCATACCACAACTTAATTGAATGAAACTGGATAACATACCTTTCATTGACCAGATCTTAACAGTGTTATCCATACCACAGCTTGCAATTCGGTATATGTCAGAGGGATGGAAGTCCTATGAAACCAAAATGACCCTTAATCAGATACATATTGTCTTAAATGTACCAAAGGAGTTTGAATTATTAGAAGAGATCTATCACTATGGTTAACACAACAGGGAAAGTGAGGTAGTGTAATGAGCTTACGACACTCAAAACTTCATTTCGATGGCCTCCAGCTCCAGCAAATATCAAAACACAAATCCCAGTTTGTACATTCCACAGCCGAACTGATTCATCCTGTTATTGAGATTAATCCAAATATTACCATAAGTAAACATGCAAATATAATTCATAAGCAGCAGAAAAAAGAAAAAGGAATGCTTACTTTGCTGGCTGAGACTATGAGGGATGGCTTCAATGGTTGCGTCCTGATCTCATTGATGGAGTCTCCATGGCCAACAAAACTCTATACATGTATAAGCATCCCACAAATATTCAAACTTAATGAACAGAAGCAACAATGTCATTCTCAAACCTCTACTAGAGAATTACTCGTATAACCAGTATGAATAAACAATGACCCTGCACCTTGTGTATCTTTTCACTGCCAGCATCAATAACACGAATAATTCCATTGCTTCCACCAGAAACAAGGAATGGAGTCCCATCCAAATCACATGCCCAGCTTAAAGTGTAGAATGACTCATCCTTCTGAATAGGGAGGAATATTCCATTATTAGATATATTTTGTTCTATAAGAAATCCCATGCATGCACTGAATCAAATCAGAAGAAGTTGATACATACATCTTCATCAACATATGCTTGCAGCACAGCAACAACGCCTCCATCCAGGCATTGGTAAATTGTCACCTGAGGGAAAAAACATCTTCCGATTAAAACAGAAGTAGGACAAAAACGCATATAGATAACACACAAGTGCCTCCGGAAAGAGGAAAACAGACTTTGACCCATGGCAAATGCTACGCTTCTCAGAAGATGTCGTTATATGTGAGAATTGAAACAAAGCACATGGAAGTTGTTAAATGACATGCGAAAAGCCACCGTGAGTGATGTTAGGCAATATATTTGACCCATTGAGTGCATACACACATATTGCTGCCAAATACTGACACCTTGAAACATTTGAAGCACACTAACCAAAGAAGCATTTTTCTGAATTTCTACTTTATAATGTATCTAATGAGTAACCTTAAAGGTACTCATGAACCTTATGAGTACCGAGTGCTATCTACTTTGATTTTGAGCAGTATCTGAGGTCTTCAAATAATTTCACAAACTTATTATTTCCCTACTAGAGGCAAACCGAAGAGGTTTTTATAAATTTGATAAGGGGACAGAATTGGCAAGCAAAGAATGCTACAATACCTTACAACGATGAAGTTATGCATCAGATGTCTTAACACCCATCCAGAGCAAAATAGGGTCACAGAACACAAGAACCAACAGATAAACAGACTACTTCTACTTGCTACAAAAGTTCCTACTGGTCCTATGACATGCTGATGTGCATTAACTTATTAATTGTGGCTAGGACTCCCCTTCTTAATAAGATGAAAGGTGCATTAACTTATTAATTGTGGCTAGGACTCCTTTTCTTAATAAGATGAAAAGAAACAGAAACAACACTCCACCTCTCATTATTCATGTTAATCCTTTTTAGTATGCTTATTCATTGAATAATGCCTAAAATAAGTTGGACAAAAGGTGAAAACTACCTGTTTGGATTGATTACTAAGGATAAGGAAAGATTATACATGTCAAAGTAATCCTTAAGGGAATGGTTCCAAAACTTCAGCAAAGTTGTCTTCAGAGACTTGGTTTTAAGAGTCTACATTTGTTAAGATGAGGGGATAAATGATGATCAAAGATTCAAAATACTAGCGTATGTTGACAACATTTGATTCAAGAGGTAGAACGCCATGGGAAACCTACATTACTCCATTCCTATAAAGATGAACAAAAAAAGGTACTTCTCAGAGTAAGAAATTCAAGATGGAATCCAGATTGCATTGACCTAACAAACTACAACAAAAACACAAAATGAAGTAGAAAACTCAAAAAAATTTTCTAAACAATAAAACCATAATAATATTAATATTATAATATAATATAATATTAGTGTTACGGGGNGGAACGGACGGACACGAACGAGGGGT